TCAATCTCAATTCTTGAGTATGTATCTTTTTAATATTATTTGTGACAAAAATGGGAAGCAGCTATGAAGCCCAGCTATGAAGCACTTAGGCTGCATACCAAAATATAAAAAGTGTGACTGAATGAGCTGTGGGCCAAACTAGTCACTTTTTTAATAGTACAGCATTTTTACTAGAAACAACTGTCAGTTCCTACAGGAAAATGCATTCCCATTTCTAAACTCATCTGTATATAACTTTTCTAACACATCTGTTTCATAAAGTGGAGGCTGCCACCCTCCATGGGAAATCACACCTACTCTCTTTTAAAACAACAGTTTAAGTATCTCAATTAACTTTTTAGCCAGAGTTAGCAGGAAAGACCTGTTTGGTGGGTAGAGGAGGGAATGAGGCAAAAGATAAACTTAGCCTAAGAAACCATTTTGCCCTATCATGGTAACAGGCTAACTAGCATTAACATTTTATTATAAGATAAAATGTTAAGTTTTAAGATATAATTCAAACAAAATAAGGGTTAAAGATTTATTTAGTTGTTTAAAAGGAGACTGTTCTACATCACGGTATTATTGTAACTAGTTACAAAAGAGACTTCAAGCGCTCCTAAATGCTTAGAATCAAACTTCCAGAATTACTCTTGTAAAAATCTACTAAGAATAGATAACGAATCAGTCATTTATTAGCCCTAAAAGATGGTTTGTAAACATGTTGCTGGTGAAAATTTTGGAAAACCCCAAGGACCAATCTAGAAAATTAAATTGATTCAAAGCAAAAAGGTAATTCCAAAAAGACATTTAATTGTACTAGTAGCATAAGCAGTGTGGCTCTGCATGAGAAAGTAAATAGATCAAACCTATCAGTGTGTATCCAGTGCTACACATGCAAGAAAAAGATTGCTCTGGCGGATACAAGTATTTTAGTCACTACAGTGTTCCAGCAGAGTGCTGTGGAGTAGAAAGAGCTCATCCGTAATCTCTTCCATATTTGGTAAAATGTCCCTTTGTTCTTACCCTATGTTCACAAGCAATGTTTTGACCTGGTTTCCCAAGTTAGTTGATACTAAGAAGGAGAAGCTCGGATGGCAGGGATTAATATTTCATTCACTGTTAACATAAAATTATAGGTCATAGCTCTCTAACAGATGGTAGCTTAGTCCCTAAGAGCCCCATCAACTTTGGGCAAACTGGAGAAAATAAAGTTTCTGACTTTACAAAGCTGAAATTTTTATAGAACTAGGTAATTTCTTGATAGGCATGTAATAGTCAAGTATTGAATTAAATATATTTCAGTTTAAAAAAATTTTACTTCCTTTATGAAGTTATATTATGGCTCACTAAACATACCATGGACTAAAATTTAAATACAGGCCATAATAACAATAACAATAATACTCCAAGTAATAGCTAACATTTATATACGGTTTATTGTATACCAGGCACTGCCATTTTACATATTTTCACTCATTTAATCCTCATAACAACCTATAGGCAAGTATTACTATAATCACTTTAGAAATGAATAAACTGAGGCAGAGGAAAATTAAGTAACTTGCTCCATATCACACATGTTAAGTGGTAGAGCTGAGATTCAATCCAGGATGTCTGGCTCCAAAGTTAAGGTTCTTAATCTCTTCTGAGCCTTGTGTTATTAATTTTCTGAATATTAAGTATCTTATTTTTCAAAGCAGTTTTGAAATTCCATATATAGTACAGCAAAAATGTTTCCTGAATCCCCACGATTAAGCTGTTAAACTGGAAACGGTTCAACCATTCATTTAACCATGGCTTCTATCAGTTTTAATAAGCACAAACATTAAATCATGCAATTTTCAGAAGTTAATGCAAAATTAATCAGAAAAACACAAATTTTTGTTTTAAAATTTATACACGCTCACTTTCAAAGTATACTAACTTGAGTTAAGCATACATATAAAATTAGTCACAGTTTTAGATTAATAGAATTGGATACTATTCTAAAAGCAAGGATATTGTAGCTTTTAAAGCAAAAATATTAATCTGAGCCTTTCTGACTATAATTTAAACTGACTCAAATCACTTACAAGTTAATTTCAAATCCCTGGCTCTCCAGTCACAAATAGAACTCCTATAAAACCATAACTTGCTTTATGGATTAGTCATTCTACAAGGTAAACTATAATTAATCTCATATCACATAAGACAGCTTTCAATTTGTGCTTTCCTTCCCATTTTTCTTCAAATTTAATGAAGTCAACATGTACTATTGGACTGCTACATTCCAAAATTTCTATTTTCTCTTTTCACCCTGATATTGTGTTAAAAGAAAAAGCATTTCTCATGAGGTGATCTTTTGTAATACTAGTAACGGTCTTGTTTTTTATCTGGGTGCCAGTTACAGGAGTGTGATCAACTTATGACAATTCATCAAGCTATGTACACTTTTCTATATGTATATTACATGCTTCAATAAAAAGCTGTTTTTTAAAAAGCTGTGTTTCTTAACTTTACTTCACCAAAAACCATTACATACCAACCTTAATGGAACTTGTCACTTTTAAAGTTTTTTATCAGATGGTACTCTATAGCACTGAGTAATACTCAATTTGTATTTTCAGCATATGGAAAGAAGAGCCAACCCAAGATATTCTATGAAACCAAAAAGTGCTACTTAATTCTTTCATAAATCCCTGAGATTTAAAGATCTCAAAAGGAAAGAAAACATATTTTTTAGCTTCTGTGAGCTCATTTTATTCTCACAACCACCTTACCATGTAGATACTATTACACACTTGTGGTAGATCGTGTTTTTCAAAGATAGCCACAACAACACATAGCCCATCCCAATGCTTTTCTTACATGACACTGACGTTCCTCAACTGAGAGAGAAGTCTGTGCTTCTTCTTCTTGACCACGCAGACCTTTATACCAGCCTTAAGCAAGACAATGTGACAGAAGCGATACTGCATGAATCCCAAGGTTAGGACATAAAAGGCAATACTCCTTCTGCCTGGCTTTCTCGCTCTCTCAAGACACTTGCCCTTGGAACCTGCCACCAGATTGTGAGTAGGTATTCTGCGCACAGCCCCAGCTACATCTCCAGCCGACAGGCAGCATCAACCATCACACTTGGGCCACTGAGCCTTCTCCAGATTCCAGCCCCAAGGCTTCAAGTCTTCCAACTAGGCCCCAGACAGCATGGAGCAGAGACAAGCCATTCCCGCTGCACCCTGTCTGAACTGACCCACAGAAACCATGAGATAATAAATGATTATTGTTGTTTTAAGCCCCTAAGCTTTTGAGGTAATTGGTTACACAGCAGTAGTAAACTAAAACACTTCATAAATAAGGAACACAGGTAGATAACCACGCTAGCAAGTGGCAAAGCCAGAATCTGAATCCAAGTCAGTCTATATATAAAGCCCACACTCTTTCTAACATAGGATATTGCCTCCAAATTTGTTCAGAGGCGCCCATGTTTCCAAATAAAACAATAGTCTCCAGATTGAAAATTCTAAGAGCAATGAACAGGCCCCAAAATTAATGATTTCAATTAATACTCAGGACAATAGGTCATTTAATTAGCAGGCTCAAAATCCCAGGATCATTTCTGACACATCTATACCCTTCATACCCTAATACCAGCATAGCTGATAGTACCCACATCCTAGACATGCTTAAGAAATTTCTTCCCTACATCAATAACAATAAACCTGAACATTTAGAGAACACTTTACAAAGCACTTTAACAATCACTAATTTGATCTTCAGAAAACACCTCTGTGAGACTGATAAGGCAGGCATCATACAGATGAGGCTCAAAAAAGTTAAAAACAACTAGCTACAATAACACAGTTAAATAGGGGTTCCATTTCAGATTTGCTGACTCCAAGTCCAGTGCTCTTTTCAACTCAATTCAACACAATTCAAAAGAACATTTATGGAGTGCCTTCTGTATGTGTTTCCATATACAACACTGTTTCTACAAGTATTTACGAAGTATCTACTTTGTGCAAAGCATCACGGCAGGCACTGCCTCTCTAATTTGGGCTCTCCACTTCCAGGGTCAGTACAAAAACATCTCTGATATGGCTGATCTCTACAAAAAGCCAGTCTTTCCCCACTTTGACCCATTCTTTCCCCATTTTGACCCATTTTCTACACTGCCAACTGACAACTTTTCCTAATCTACCTCCTTAATCACACTATTCAAAAACTGTCAAAGATGACATCTTACCCACAAAAATACAGGCCAAATTTCCTTGTCTGCCTTCAAGGTCTCCCGTAATCTGATCCCAGCTTATTTAATTAAATTAATTTCCCTTCACTTACCAAGGAAAACCAAATTAATCTCTTCCTTCTTCCCCAAATTAACTTTCTTTACACCCTCTTGCCCTCCCTTTCGTTCATACTATCAACCAAATTCAGAAGCAATGCTCAAGTATTCATCCTCAACTCCTGACAGAGAGTCCCTTCCCTTCAAGACCTTAAATTCTACTGTGAAGCTACAACTAACAATCCAAAACAATATATAATAATTAAATATGGTAGCACAGATTATAGTTTACATGGATTTAAAGAGGAGGAATTACTGAGGGCTGCAGGAATGCCTTCAGGAAGAAGGCAGCACTTGAAATGTGCTCTGACTGACCAACAGGATTCGAACTGCCAGAAGTAAAAGCAACCCAAGCTGAGGAACAACCTGAAAGCCTTCCCTTTCTACCCCACTTCTTCCCAATTACACCTTACCTAATCCTCCAGCCAGGATCATCTGCTTCAAGAAGCCTTCCTCAGTTACTTCACAATCTAACCTAAGCTCTCTTCTCTGAGCTTCTAACACAATTACTATCCACAACACTCATTCTGGCACTTAGGCATTCCACATTAGAGACCTCGTCTCTTCGACTTGACAGCAGTATGTCTCCACATAGTAAGAATTCAATACTTGCTAAACTGAACTCAATTCAGCAGCCATTGTTGCTTTCAGTCATTTAAAAATCCATTGATCATAACATTGTTTCTTAACTTACCGGGCATCTCCTTTTGAAAGATTAGTGTTTACAGGACTAAGAATAACCTTGTTTGCATCTACATCCACCACACATTTGGTATGCAAGTCAATTTCTGCAGGGGAAAAAAAGAAAGAAAAAGAAAAAAACAGGAAAAATAGTCATTTCTTAAAGTAATTTATTTCAGAAAAGGCATTTGACAAAAATTCAACACTCTTTCATGATAAAAACACTCAACAAACTAGGAATAGAGGAGAACTTCCTCAACTTAATAAAGCGCATCTACAAAAACCGGCAGCTAACATCACACTTAATGGTGCAAGACTGAACGCTTACCCTCTAACATCGGGATTAAGACAAGGACATCTACTGCTGCGACTTCTCTTCAACACTGTACTAGAAGTCCTGTTCAGGGCACTCAGGCAAGAAAAACTCAGGCATCCAGATTGGAAAGAAAGAAGTAAAACTATCTCTATTTGCAGATGATATGATCTTGTATATAGAAAATCCTAAGGAATCCACTAAAAAACTATTAGAATAAACAAGTTATGCAAAGTTGTAGGATACAAGATCAATATACAAAAATCAGTTGTCTCTCTATACATTGGCAATGAAATACCCAGAAACAAAGTTAAGAAAATAATTTCATTTATAATAGCATCAAAAAGATTTAAACACTTAGGAATAAATTTAAAAGAAGTACAAGACTTGTACACTGACCATTCCAAAACATTAATGAAAGAAACTAAAGACTTAAATAAATGGAAAGATGTCTTATATTCATGAATTGAAAGACTTAATACTGTTAAGATGGCAATACTCCCCAGGTTGGTCTACAAGATTCAAGGCAATCCCTATCAAAATCCCAGTTGGCTTTTGTTTCTTACAAAAATTAACAAGCTTATCCTAAAATCTACATGGAAATGCACGAGACCCAGAACAGTCAAAACAATCTCGAAAAAGAAGAACTTCTGCACGAGAAATGTGCGAGACCCAGAACAGTCAAAACAATCTTGAAAAAGAAGAACTTTCTACCTCACTTGTAGGTAGAAAGACTACACTCACCAATTTCAAACTTACTACAAAGCTACAGTAATCAAGACAGTGTGGGGCCAGCCCCGTGGCTTGGTGGTTAAGTGCGCGCGCTCCGATGCTGGCGGCCCGGGTTCGGATCCCGGGCGCGCACCGAGGCACCACTTCTCCGTCCATCCTGAGGCTGAGTCCCACATACAGCAACTAGAAGGATGTGCAGCTATGACATACGACTATCTACTGGGGCTTTGGGGGAAAAAAATAAATAAATAAATAAATAAAAAATATCTTTAAAAAAAAAAAAAAGACAGTGTGGTACTACTAGAAGGACAGAAGGATAGAGATATAGATCAACAGAACACAGAGTCTAGAAATATACTGAAACATTTATGGCCAAATGATTTTGACAATGGTGTCAAGACAATCCAATGGGGAAAGTATAGTATAGTCTTTTCAACCTATGGTGGTGGGACAACTGGATATCCACACGCAAAAGAATAAACACCATACACAAAACTTAAGTCCAACAGATCACAGACATAAATGTGTAAGAGCTAAAACTATAAAACTCTCAGAAGAAAACACAAGGAAAATCCACATCACCTTGGGTTAGGTAATGGTTTCGTAGGCATCAAAAGTACAAGCAACAAAAGAAAAAAATAGATAAACTGAACCTCACCAAAATGAAAAACTTTTGTGCTTCAAAGGACACCATCAAGAGAGTAAAAAGACAACCCAGGGCCAGCCCGGTGGCCTAGTGGTTAAGTTCGTGCACTCCACTTCGGCAGCCCACGTTCGCAGGTTTGGATCCCGGGCACAGATCTATGCACTGCTTATCAAGCCATGCTGTGGCGGCATCCTATATAAAGTAGAGGAAGATGGGCATAGATGTTAGCCCAGGGCCAATCTTCCTCAGCAAAAAGAGGAAGACTGGCAACAGATGTTATCTAATCTTCCTCACAAAAAAAAAAGAAAAAAAGAAAAGCCACAGAATTGAACAAATATTTGTAAATCACATATCCAATAAGGGACTTGCATCTAAAAATATAAAGAACTCTTAGAACTCAAATAATAAAAAGACAAAAAAAACTTTTGAATGGGCAAAGGACCTGAATAGTTATCTCTCCAAAAAAGATACAAAAATGGCCAATAAGCAGAAGAAAAGATGCTCAACATCATTAGACATTGAGGAACTGCAAACCAGAACCACAAAGAGATACCATTTCACACCCACTAGCATAACTATAATCAAAAAGACAAATAATAACAAGTGTTGGTGAGAATGTGGAGAAATTAGAACCCTCATATTATCACTGACAGAAATGTAAAATGGTGCAGTCACTTTGGAAAACAGTCTGGCAGTTCCTCAAAAGGTTAAACATAGAGTTAGCATATGATCCAGCAATTCCACTCCTAGATATATACCCAAGAGAAATGACAACATAGGTCCACACAAAGCTTGTACATGAATGTTCACAGCACTATTATTTGGCTATTCATAATAGCCAAAAAGTGGAAACAATCCAAATGTCCATCAACTAACGAATGGATAAATGTGGTATAGCCATAAAATGGAACATTATTTGGCAAATAAAAGAAATAAGGTATTGATACTTACTACAACATGGATGAAGCATGTGCTAAGTGAAAGAAGCCAGTCACAAAAGACCACATATTATATGATTCCACTTATTTGAAATGTCCAGACTAGGCAAACAAGAGACAGAAAATAGACTAGTTATTGCCTAGGGGTAGGGAGTGACTGATAATGGGTATGGTTTTCTTTTTTTTTTAAATTGAGGTATAATCGACATATACATTATATTAGTTTCAAGTATACAACATAATGATTCAATATTTGTATATATTGCAAAACAATAACAATAAGTTTAGTTAACATCAGTACCATACTTAGTTACAAAATTTTTTTCCCTTGTGATGAGAACTTTTAAGATCTATTCTCTTACCAACTTTCAAATATACAATACAGTTATTATTAACTATAGTCACCATGCTGCACACAGGTATGATTTTCTATTGGGGGTATGAAGATGTACTAAAATTGACTGTGTTGATAGTTGCAGAACTGTGTGAGTATGATAAAAACCAATGGACTGGTTGAATTGTATGATATGTGAATTAGATCTCAAAGCTATTTTTTTTCAAAAAGTATAGGCCACGTAATGTTTATGTTCTCATATTTTTATATTCTTGTATTTTTCTGCCCCAAAGTATGAAACTGTTTCTGTTTGCCTTATCTCCACCACCAAAAGATAAACTCTAAGGAAAGGAGCTGCATTACATTGGAGTTATTTTGTATTTCCCAAAGAACCTTGGCCAAAGGTCAATGTCATACTATTATAAGTTAAGAGTATTTCCACTGCCAGGAAAGGTCATCTCTTTTTTCCTTTTACCTTATATAACTGAGACAAATGCAAAAACAACAAAAACAAAAACTTCCCTCCCTGTACGTGTCACAACTTAACTTTTCTCATATCAGTTATTCTACATTTGTTTTCAAAGATATATTCTAGAAGCACCAAAAATTTAGTACTTTTAGCCAATACATTTTTCAGACTAAAAGAACTGAAAAGAAATCTGTAGAGCTATGTTTTACCCACATATGGAAGACTAACCCCAAAAAGGCAAATGTTCCACTGTGGTCAACTAGTACTAAAGTCTATTTCTGATGCTTTGTGTTTAAATCCACTCTAGACTATCATAGAAGCGATACAAGAAAGTCTCAGCCTTACTGCAAAAACTTTGCAAACATGTAATTTTGCTTCTTCCTTTTCTTACACCCAGAGCTCAAGAAAGTTTGCAATCATCATACTTTGCTAATATTACTCTTTAATGGTAATGACCATATTATATTGGCTGGCCCCTTACAGTCAAATCTATATCATACACAAATGGATTCTCCGGAAACTGTACTGTGACTCAGAATCTACTATCTCACCACCCACCACAAAGTTAGTTATTAGTTTCTTGCAAGAACATTTTGTCTGAGCAGAGGAGCTGCATGTATAGCTCTGTATGCAGAAGTATACATTTAGAAAGCACGCCTGAAAAATTGCAAATCAAATTTTCTCCACTAAGAAGGTCAAATACCATATGATCTCCTTCATTAAGTAGTAGATAATAACAACAACAAACAAACACATAGAGACAGAGATGGATTGGTGGTTACCAGAGAGGGAGGGGGAAGGGAGGAGGGCGAAAGGGACAATTCCGCACATGTGTGTGGTGATGGGTTGTAATTAGTATTTGGGTGGTGAACATGATGTAATCTATGCAGAAATAGAAGTATAATGATGTACACCTGAAATTTATACAATGTTATAAACCAATGTTACTGCAATAAACAAAACAAAACAAAAATTTTCTCCACTAAGTGCTCTGCCTTCATTTCAAACGATCTTTGAGAAGAAATCCAAATATTTTCCTTCCATATCTGTATGCTTTTCCCCTATCCTCTTCAAGGCTCCTGCCTCCTCTGCCTCATGACTTCACTAGATACAACTAATAATTTGGAGGCATTAAATGGAATGATTAAGGAACCAATCCCTGGAAAATCCTATATGAGACAAAGAATCACCTAATATCCAACCTAAACTCATTTTTTCCTCAAGACTGCGACACTTACAAATGTCCCTATATTTAACATCCATCAAAAGTGGCCTTTAAATACAAACAACTATCTTCACTTCATTAGCTCAGTTTTGTAATCAAACAAAATTCCACCCTGACTCTGCTGACTGATGGATAGACGTTAACAGAAGGCTTTTCACAAGACTATTTAGAATATGGGTGGAACATCTAGGACACACACCCAAGCAAATAAAAGCAGTGAGATTTGAAGAGTTTAAGGATCAGATATTTGAAAAGCACTTTAATATAAAATGCTATAGCGAGTATACCATCAAATGTTACTAGTTGGTTGAATTAAACTATACTGCTACAAAATTCTAAACATGACACTTTCTCCATGGAAAACTACTTGCTCTATACTGCTCAGAAAGCAAAGCAGTGATTAAACAGCAGTAACAAATTTAGGCCTTAAATTTAATCTGAATTTTAAAT